AAAAAAGAACTTTATTATTCTATTCTTTCTTTCTTTCTTTTTCTCTCCTCAAAACCCTTTGATCTTTTAAATTTCAATAGTAAAACATTAAAACAAAACTGATATATATAGCATAAAAGGCGCCCCTGTCATTTTTGTTGCCTAGGTAGGCGCCTAGTTGCTAAAAGACAAGGCATTTGGGCAAGGCACCCAGCCAAGGGCGCCTTGACAACTATGATGCCTTTTCCCAACTATAATGCATATATATATACACACACCAATCGATTCAGTTAACTGTCAGTTTTTCACATTGGTTAACCGTAACTGAACCAATACCTTCAGTTTTTCAAAAATACCGAACCGATTGATTTGGTTAACTGGATTTTTCAATTCAATTTTTCAGATTTTCAGTTTTTTATGAGCACCCTTACTCAATGAAGGGATTTAAGGTTTAGCCTTAGTATCTTGATGTTCAATTTGGCTTTAAATGGAACAGATTAGCAAAACTGACTCATGTAGCTGACCCCATACAGTTGGGATAAGGCATGGATGATGATGATAATGATCTCAATGTTCAATCCTTGAAGTTCAAGAGAATGGAACTTTCAATTGGCAAAAACAGAGAATCAAACTTTAGAAACATAATAGCCATTTAGCAAACCCATAACAATTAATATATAAAATATTTATATATCAAGATTTCAGTCCTCCCAGCCTTCAATTCCACCCATATTACCTCCTTAACTCGCTAACAAAGCAACTTACTTGCTAAAGGCTAGGTATATGGCTCACCCCTTTTTTTGATAAATAGGCATATGGCTCACCTTGGCCAACAGCCTTCCAAATTTTGATACTGCTTCACAGTTCCAATTTGCCGCAGCTCCATAAGCTCTCCAAAGAAGTCCTGGTACTTTGTGTCCCATATCGTGCCTGCAGTCTGGTCTGCAATTCTTGCCACATTCCTCCGTTCTGTTCTTTCTTCCATAGTTGGTACCACAACTGTATATTTCCCTTCAGGTGAATGGAAGCCACAGCAACCCAATCTTCCTATTTGATCTCATGGAACTCCAAAAAATGTTTGGCTCTACAAAGCCAACTAGTAGGGTATTCTGTCGTTATAGTGAGGGAAGTCTAGTTTGCAGGACTTTGGCACATATGAGTGCTGTGTTGATTGAGATAAGGACCTGATCCCTTAGTGCTATCCTTCACCATGGTTTCAAGGAGTAGGTGACACATCTCCAATCCCCCAAGTGGATTGGCCAAACTGGCAATTAATACGAGTGCTCAATGATTCAACCATTTCATTCATGCGCTCAAGCAATTGTTGCTGCCCTATGATAACCAAGCAACATCCTTCTCCAACTTTAAACCTTCTGGTCCATCCCTAGGCTCTGATACCACTTTGGATGAGCATAGATTCCTTGGGTTTATCTATGGTGGATCTAGCTTGTTGAAGAGAGTGAAGATATATAATGGATACTTCGAGGGAACCCAAAACCTCTAGTATTCTAATTTGAAAAGGAAACAATGGATCATGGATAATCCTCTCTTTATTTCTCATGCAATTTATTAATGGATTTTTGGCTCTAACAACCTCTAAACTTTGTGAAAATGCCAATTTCTCCCTTAGAGACTTTAAGGGGTCAATTTTGACCCCAAAGTGAGCTGAAAAGGCCAATGTTGGCCAGAAACACAGTGTTAGTGACGCCGTATATAAATCCATTAAAAATGAATAAAATAATAAGAAATGCTGATGTGGTATTGTTTAATTCAAAAAACTGAAAAATTACAAATGGGCCCCACTGAATAAAATAAAAACTATTTAATGTATAAATTAATAAATATTGAAAATAATATATAAGTGGGTCCCACTTGAAATTTCCTCTTTTTAAGAGAAATTTAATAGGTGGGTTCAACTTGAAATTACAGGTGGATCCCACTTAAAATTTCCACTTTTAAGAGAAAAATAATTGGTGGGTCCCACTTAAAATTTCCTCTTTTAAGAGAAAATAATCAATGGGGTCCACTTAAAATTGTAGGTGGCCCCACTTGAAATTATATGTGGGCCCCACTTAAAATTTCCTATTTAATAAGTGGCTCTCCCTCCCTCCCCCCTCCTCTCTCTCTCTTGGCCAAATCAGCCATTTCTCCCTCCCCTGTCTTCTCCCTCAGCAATGGTGGTTAACACTCCCCCCCTCTCTTTCTCAAGTGAATCAGTTGTTTCTTCCTCCCCTATCTTCTCCCTCCTTTCCACCTGCCACCACCATCGACGAACATGGCAACCCTACATTGTGAAGCGATCAAGTTGCCTCAGCATTGAATGTGTGTCGCCGAGCTACATCTACCCGAAAACGCCATACAAACTCATAGCCAACTCCAAGCTCGATTCGACCTCTCTTGTTCATCGCTCGAAGGATTTTGAAGCTCAGATCATGAAATCCAACGCCTTGTTTGTGTTGTCTCTAGATGCAATCATGTCACTGGCGAGCTTCAGAAGAAACGGCCCAGGATCAGGATTGTAAAGGAATGATTCTCGAGTTTCGACTTCTGTAGCATTTTTTTCTTGCCAGAGCTTCAATCCAGTGGTGAGGGTCTTCCCCGTGAAAGTGGATGGAGATGGAGAGGGGGCTCTCTTCGGGATCAGCAATTTGGTCTTGGGATTTGGGGTTTCAGATCCCATTACATGGTTTTGAACCTGGGGATCGTCGTCCCAAACGAGAACTCGGATGCTTAAAGGGGAAGCGCCGCAAGACGTCCTGTTCTTCGTCAAGGAAGACGATGAACAATGAATTTTTTTTGTGTTTTTGCCATAAAAAAGAACCAAATTATTTTTGTTTTATTAATAATTTAGTATAATTAGTTATTAAATAAAATAATTATTTTTTTTTTATTTTTGGTCACATGATTTTAAGTAGGATGCACTTGTATCTTCCATATTTTTTGACTTTAACAATGCCACATCATCATTTCTTAATATTTTATTCATTATTTAATGGATTTGTCAACGTCGTTTCAAATGTCATCTTTTTTTTAAGAATAAAATAAAAATTCATTAAAAAAGATAAAGTACAACAGGAGGTGATAAGATATCACCAAAATCAAGAAGCATCCTTAGAAAACCCAAAAAAAAGATCCCAATAAAACCACAACTTGAAAAAAAAAATTAAAAGATTACCCAAACTACTCTAAAAAAAGATCACAGGATAGACCCATTACAAAGACCCCCAAAAAAGCTAGAGGCCACCCCCCCCAACTCTAATCAAAAGCAAGAACCCTTCCAAATACCCACATCAGTCTTCATCTCTGAACACGTCCTCTTGATTCGAGAATTCCTCATCCCATCCCTTGTTCCTTTTCAACTTTGATTTTTTTTTTCAATTTCTCTTCCTCTTTTTTTCTTTCATATTCTTCGAAAGCCCTCCTAGAAAATTCCTCACCACCCTAGAACAACGGACCCAAGCTTTTCCTAACTGTGACCTCCCTATCCACTAAGGGTACAACTTTTGTGGGTTAGGGTTGAGATTTTGTCAAAATTTCAATGGGCCCAACCCGAAACCCAAGCCCGAAATAGTGTAAACTGCTAGCTCAGGCCACCTGACTTGCAGCCTTACTATCCACCATTTTTTGTATAGCTACCTTACTTGAAACTTCATCAACAACATCATTTTCCTGCCTTAACTGTATCGAACCAGATTCAGAGTCGACACCATTTTCCTACCTTAGCCGTATCAACAAATGCCATCTATTTCTGCCTATGGTTGGCTTTTTTCTCTGAAGTTTGGGGTCTAAATTGGCCCCTTGAATTCTTTAAGGGCGAAATTGGCCTTTTCGCAAGTTCAAGGGTTGTCAGAGCCAAAAATCCATTTATTAATTGGTTACAACCCATACCTCCAAGAAGAGCGGAACAAATAACTGCATATCAAACACATGATAACCACATAAAGACTTGAACCAAAAACAATGTCCCCCTATCCTATTTTGCTCAACAATTAAGATAATTCAGTTGCATGAAACTTGGTCCACTTCCAAAAGGCGTTGCACGTACTCCTCACATGCTAAGCATGCATGCCCACATCAGATCCAGGAGAAGCCAACATATCTCATAGGTGTGCTTTATGGAGGGGTATTCAGAAGATAGCAAGGGATTTCAAGAAGGTGGTTAGGTATGAGTCAGAGATGAGATAGGTAAAATTTTGGCAGGACATTCGCTGTAAAAAACAAACCCTTAAGAATCTTTTCAAACCCTGTTAGAAATTGCACAAAATAAGGAGTGTTTAATTTCAGGGGCTTTCTCTCAAGAAAGGGAAACAGGTGTTTGCTGCCCAGTTTTCAAAAGGAATTTGAATGATTAGAAGTTGGGGCAATGGATGGAGCTGATGCAAAGGATAAACACAATCAAACTGATCAGAGAAAGAAGTGACAAAAGGTCTTAGATGTGGTAGAAATCAGGTACCTTCACAATAAAATCTTTTTACAACAAGCTGTGCTGCAAAGAGGAGGAGAGGTTCCCAGAGAACAAGGTGTGTTAAACCGTTCCTCCCCTTAAAGTGGCATTTTTGGTATGCAGAACCACCCTGGCAGCAGAGAGGTCTGTCCAAGAAAGGGTAAATCATTTGACAAGTGTTGCCAGCAGCAGTGATTTGGTCAATCAGGACAGAGAGGACGCTTTTTGAGAATAGTTCATAGCTAGCCAAGAAAACATCTTTCCCAAAACCTTCTGAAAAATAGCATCAACAAAGCTGCTTTTATTCTTGAATATTCTTGTATATATCCTCTGCCATATGCACCAAAAACCATAGTAGGGGCTCAATTCAAGCAGGGACTAAAAGGAGTAACCCTAGTTTAAAAAAAGATTTCTTTGCTTGTGATATGAAATTAAATGATTCTTCTAAAATGCTAATTTTGAGATGAAATAGGAATAACCATTGCACAATGGTAAAAACACAAACTCCCAAAAATGCACCTCAGGTTTTAATTCAATTTGACATAGGATGAGAGGAAACTGCCATGCTATAACTTACTTATAGAAGCAGCGCTTTGAAAACAGCATGCCATTCTGCCCTGCGAAATCTTCCTCCCTTACCAATTCAGTACTGCATGAAATCAATCCAAACAATACAAACAGAACCATATAACTAAATTGTGGGGCAAGGAAATAAATGGAACCCCAAAGACAATAACCTCCATTTGTTACACATGTATATTTCTTCCATAATTTATGTTTTGATAATGTAAATAAAAAGGGTAAAAAACTTAAACCTACCCTAAGATTTAACATAAATACTTGTACTTCTCTACTTTTTGGCAAGACTTAAACTTCCCCTATCAGAATAAGACACTGTAATATATGCAGAATCAATTAAAAGACATTACGGCCCTTCATTCTTTGAATTTTCAAAGAAAGCCACACCTTCCCAATCCTATCTGTTAGACTGAACAGTACAAGGGTAGTTAATTCTTTTGTCTATCTAATTAAGGTTGAATAATCTGTTTTGTCTGAGTTTATGTATCTCATACTTAATGAGGGACAATATTGTCTTTGGTAATCCAACACATAGAATATAAATACAAAGTGAGTCGGCTGGGAGAAGTGACTTTTTCTCTCATTGACTGAACCCTTTCTTCTCCCCTTTCTCTCTTTCTGCTTCTTCTTTTCTTCTTACATATTTCAGACCTAGAACTGAACTAGGGTTAATCAATCTATTCACATAGTATCAGAACTTTAAGAAATCAGCTTAGAACTCCATCTTCTCTCATCTCCCTTCGTCCTCCTAAGATCGCCATATCAGATTTTTTTTGGAAGTAACTTTTAAACAGATTGGAGGATCGATAAGGGACCAAAAAGGAGTGATCGTTTTTCCTTCTTGGAGGTAAATATGCCTCCAGTTGCTGTGGTGGTGGCCGTTGTGGTGGTGTACTAAATGCCCTCTACTCGATGGTACGAAGGGGGCTGGTTGTGGACAGGTGTGAACAGAAATCTCTAATCAACTAATAGTGGAGTGTGGTTCCTTCTTTTTGGGCTGGATTTCATTCGTGTGGCAGTGTGGATTGGTAGGTATGCATATGAACTTCTTTCTTTTTTGTTTATACCTGGATATGTGCGTTGACAGTAGGGTTTTCGAGTGCTAAACTCATGACAGCAGCAGTGTGATCATAAATATATTTTATTGTGTGGTGTGTGGTGTAGCGCTGAATAGTAAAGGGTGAGACTCTTTTGTTTAACATAGTGACTTCTTTGTGGGGTGAGGTGAATTGGTTATGATGGCATCAACTGGAGAGGGTAGTGATAATAAGACAGGTGTTATGATTTCTCCTGATTACTTAAATGTTCAAATGACCTCTATCAAATTAAATGGTGAGAACTATGTGCCTTGGGCTAAATCTGTGGAAGTGTTTTTAAAAGCCAAAAAAAATGTGAAACATGTGAGAGAGGATAAAACCTCTTCTGATTCTCTAGGGTTTAGTGATTGGGAACAGGAAGATCCACAAATTATGACCTGGTTATGGAATAGCATGGATCCTAAAATTAGTGTGAATTTTATGTTCCTGGATACAGCTAAGGAAATCTGGGACCAGGCTAAGAAGCTCTATTCCGGCCAAGATAATACCACAAGAGTGTATCATCTTTACCAAGAGTACTTTAACCTGAAGTAGGGTAATCAAAGCTTGGAAGAATATTATAAAAGCATGAGAAACCTCTGTAATGAGCTTAATGTGTATCATCCTCTGACTCCAGATGTTCAAGTTCAGCAACAACAGCAAGAGCAACTTGATGTGACAAGGTTTCTAGTGGGTTTAAAGGCTGAATATGAACCTGTTCGAGCACAAATATTGGGTGGGTCTACTCTCCCCTCTCTTGAGGATGAGTGTTTTCTCTCTGCTGTTGGAGTGGCAGTTGTCCACTTAGAGTTCTCAGTTTCCCTTTTTCTTTCTTTTTTAAGGTGAAATGTCTTCACCCTCTTTGTAATCTTTATTTTCCTTCAAACATAATTTTACCTTATAATAATAGCTTTTTGACCATGAAAGTTAAGTTTAATGAGGATAACTCCTTTATTAAATGCATATTAAGACAACATATTTTCATTGTAAAAAAATGAAAGAAAGAAAAATGTTGTTCATTAGCTTCTTAAGCTTTTTATGAATGAATAATTGAATATGCAAATCCAATTAGAGTTTTCCTTTGTGGGTCAATTGAACAAGATCATAAATGCATATTAAAGAACTCACTTGAACACAACATTCCATATAGTCCCGTATCTTTCATTTAATAAAGTGATCTTTTCCTGTTTCTCAGACCAGTTGGGATCAGATACTGCAAAAATCAACTCCAAGATTCCTGGATACAACATATAACACAAATTTAGTATTTGATAAATCTAGATTAAAATTCAATTGAGTTGGTCACCTATGTCAAAGCCCTAACTCATAACATATTTCATATCAATGCAGTAGCAACTCAATCAATCAAACAATCTTATTAATATGGGTTCCTGGATTGGCTAATTTTCTAGAAGGCATGCTAGGGGTGGAGTAGGCAAGAATGTGTTGTATTGAGGGCAGACCTTCTTGAGGTCCAAGTGCATAGGTAGGAGTTTTTAGGACTGTTCTCTTGTACTCAAGGATAGCCTCTCTTGAGGTCTTTTAAATGATATCCTCTTCTAGTGTTGGTGAGGATTTTAAGGAAGTGGAGTTACAACAACATCTAGGAATAAGATCAAAACAGCAAGCACTTCTATTGACCAAGTGTGCCTGGTACATTGCACTTTCTGCATATTTAAGCTTCCTTAACTTTTTACAAGGATCTTATTCTTCTCTTATTCCTTATTTCTATTATTAAAACTTTTGGACACAGACCAAGAGAAAAAATAATAATAATAATAACCTCAAACTTCCAAAAATCATAGTAGTCGTCATAGAGAAAGGTCACTCAAAAAAACAGTTCCTGAGAACAAGCATAATACAGACTTGACCCATTCAGAACAAGAAAAACTTGTAAAGCACACCAACCTGGAGTTTCATGTGCATTTTCAGCTCCCAGTGCATCTGCTAATTTTAGACAAAGCTTAACCATAGCGGTCTCAACCTGAAACCAGTCGCACAAGAAGGCTAAAATTATTTAATGCAAGCATAGACAGCATATTGGAGCAATAAATTTCCAATTTCTAGTGTCAAACCCACCCTTGCACACCACTGAGATTCAATATCAATAACATCATCAATGGCCCATTCTTTGCTTCCATATGCAGTTGAGTCCTCGAGCTTGATGCAACTGCATGAAAAAACTAAGAAAGACTCTGTACAACATGCATCCCCATACATAACATAATCCGGGGAAACAACAACATCCACATTTAGTTGATCCTGGATATAACACCAGAAAAGAAAAAGGAAACCACAAACACATTCAGAAAACAAAGTAATTGGGAAAACTAAAAGAGTTAATACAATGCAACTTATAGCAATAAAGTAATTGGGAAAAAGGAAACAATTCCATTATTGCATGTTTCTTAAATGTACTCAAGTAAGAGACAGAGAAGAAAGGAAGAAAAAGTGAGAAGATTGACAAGTTTGCTCAAACATTAAGGCAAGGAGAAAATGTTTACCATTTTCCAACCATCAAAACAGTGATCTGAAACTGGTTGCCCAAGAGAATCTGAAATATTGCAATATAGAATAATAAGAATGATGAGGTGGAAAAAGATACATCCAAGAAGATAAAGCAAAGAATTGAAATTATGTCAGGATGTACAAAACAACAAGAGAAAAACCTTCATTCTTAACTAGATCGGAAGAAGTTGATGGTGAAGAAGTTTTCATGCTATCATCATCAGAAACCACATCAACTGGCTCACTCTGCAAAAATCCCAGATAGGTTAGACACTAAGAATCTCCAAAATCCACAACTTGATTCATCTCACAGTTGAGAAGGGGAGAAAAAACAAATACATTGGACAAAGGTTCCAGAAGGGTGGAGTTAAATTGTTTGTTCCCAGATGAAGGCATTTCCAGACTTAAAGATCCCACTTTGAAGGAGTTCAATTCACCAGAGAGATTTTCAGGTTCAACGTTAACCATACTATTACAAACATGTGGCTCACAACTCATGGGATTGGATGCCAAAACAGCATCCAAACTCAAAATTCCTCTTTCAGTAGCACGTTCCACTGCCGACAAACCCAAAACATGTGAACCGTCATTGTTGCATTTGTGATCACTAGCACTTGAATCAACTTCTACACATGATGCATTGTTGGTTTCTGTCCGTTGGAAATTGGTTCTTTCTGCAACTACAAGAAAAAGTTGTAAAAATATCAGATATGATTCAGGTGGTGATATGGACAAAATGCCTAGTTTTTCCTAGAGCTAAGAGCAAGTCCTTAATAAATAGTCAACATGCACAATCATGACATTAGTGGAAGGAAAGAAAGCTTCCTTCCAAAATATAAACCGCAGCATTTGTTTATCATCACAAAACAAGTACACATGAACAACACCATTTTCCCTCAGTAACCAAAAACAGTTATTTAAAACAAGAAGAAGAGAACAAATAACAAACATTTTATTCAATCAAATGAAAGTAACACTACTCAACAGAAAGAGTAATCAATACCTACAGAGAGCTCCCCCTTCCCAAAAAAAAAACAAATCACAGATTATTAATATAAACTATTTTCTTTTAATAAGTCATAAATATATTATGACCTAACCTACACATTTTTTCAGTTCTAAGATCAAATTAGTTTATTAATTCATGGGAGAAAATAAGTGCATCCTGTAAATTCACTGATTCTTTTATCGATATTTGATAACATAAATTACGACTTTTACCAAAAAAAGATAACATAAACTCCAAGAAGAGTTTGAGTTGTAGCCTAGAATACCATACAACAAAAATATTCAGAATTTTGAGTTACATGGGGTTTTCTCTTGCTCCTCCTTCAAGGCCTTGTCCCCAGTTGCCACTCCCCCTGCAGTGCTTCTAATTAAATAAATTTGGTC